ATTGCTGTACATGCAAATATGAATGTGCTCTAAACTTACGGATGTTGGGAGTCTCAGTTGTGTAGCCAATTTGTACAAGCAAAGGCATGACAATAAATCAGTTCTTGAATCAAACCCTTCACAAACAAACTCTTGGTTGTTTTGGTTTTCAAACCACACATCGGATAGGACATGAAATGAAACTCATGTTGAAAACCAGCCGCTTCAACTTGTTGCGGGTTTATCTTGCCCCACTTTGGCACCGATTTCTCAAACAATCTGTACCCTCTGGTTATTTAACATAGCCATGGTATAGATGGCCCATAGAAATAGATGGTCTACCTATTAAAAATGGTGATTTTCCATGGCAAACTGTTAAATAACCAGATGGTAAGTGATGACCCAAATCCTCGAACGTGTTCGAATCCACCCATTCTCCACCCATTCTCCACCTCTTGGACGATTCTTCGTTCGAACCTGAGAACTGACAGTGGTGCCGTGTCCAGCTGCCTATGCGAAAAAAGCTTGCCCAACAGTCCCCCAAACCTGAAGACCGCGTAATGCTTCAGTCCAACCCTAAAACATCTATTGGTTTTCAATGGTTTCCATCTACTAGATTCTTTCAAACCCATCAAGGTGTGTCTGAACATTGGGCTTCAATGGTTCAATCCAATCCCATAAAGGTCATCTATCGAAGTCCCAATGGTTGATTGTCATATCATCTATCGAAGTTGTATCCAATTAAACTCCAACTAATCCCATTCAACACCTATGGACCACTCCCATTAAAGGTCATTTTTGAAGCCATTAAGTTAACTCATTGACTCAGAAAAAGAACTTATTGAAATCTCATTGAACCAATCCCATTATGCAATCATTACCCTCTCATAAACTAACATAGCTATTGAAAATGACCATTTATAGTGAGTTGTCCCATTAAAATGGTGATTTTCCATAGCTATGTAAACGTTTACCAGAGGGTATAACCACCATTTTCTTATGGTTTTCCTATGGTTTTCCCATTTTCCCATGGTTTTCCCAGGGTTTTCCCAGGGTTTTCCCATTGGTTCAGCCCCATCAACACCCACTCCCCCTCCTCGCCTCTGGCGCTAACGTCTCAGGCGTCGCCACCGGGTCCAGGGCAGCGGGACCCCCCAACTCGGCTGGTAAAGGCCTGCTGGACTGGTAGAATGCTACCCTAAAATAGTTGGTTAATGGATGTTTAATGGATATTAATGGATATTTAATGGATATGAATGGATATGAATGGATGGTTTTTCACCCAAACCATGGGTCATTCACCATGGTTTTGACTGTCTTGACACCCATCCCCATGTTTTTTTTTAATGTTCCTGCAAACATCCACCAAAATGGGGATGCAGCATTTCTGCGAAGATGGTGAGTTGCTCCAGAAATTCTGGATCTACTCGCATCTACCCAAGGCTAATTGGGAAAATGATTCATAAATCTTAGGATTTAGATGATTCCCTAGGGAATCATTGATAAACCACGGGATATTGATAAAGTACCCCCTAAACATTGATAAACCGCGGGATTTAGGGGGTACATGGGGGTACTATAATAGTCGTTCTATTTTTAGACAAGTTTCCAAGTTTCCAACGGATCTCTAAACATGCTGGGTCCGGTTGGTCTCTTTCTATGAAATAAGCCAAAAAAGGCAATGAAATCAGGGGACGCCACTAGTAGGTAGACCATCTCCTGGCCAATCTTCCCTGCCATTTTTGTTGGTTGTCCCCATCAACTCTTAGCAACAGATGGGGAGATGTACGCCCTCCTCTGTTGCCGAAAAGGGAGATACAAGAACAAACTTGGGGACATGATTGACCATCGCAAATTTGACAAGTATCTTAAGTGTAATTTAGATTAATTTAGAATCATTTCACAACTATCTACTAGCTAACTGATTGATAATATGGGGACATGATGTTATCTGACAAGTACAAACTATACATGTACAACGTGGCCAAGTAGCACTTGGGAATCAGCGCAGCAAAAGTGTGGCGGTGGGAGATATGGTGAAACTGACAGAGATCATACAGAAATGCAATGCAAAGGGCCAGCACTAAAGCTGTAAAGAGTCAATGGCAAGGTTACTCGCTCCCAGCTTTGGAAGAACCAAATACCAAAACTCAAACTTTGAAGACTCGATGGCAAAGTCACCCGATCCAGGCTTTGGTTAAAATCATCGCCAAAACTCAAGCTTTGAAGACTTGATGGCAAAGTCACCTGCTCAAGGCTTTGGTTGAACTGATTCCCGAAACTCAAGCTTCGAAGACTCGATGGCAAAGTCACCCACTCCAGGCTTTGGTTGAATTCATAGCCAAAACTCAAGCTTTGAAGACTCGATGGCAAAGTCACCTGCTCCAGGCTTTGGTTGAACCGATCGCTAAAGCTCAAGCCTTGAAGACTCGACGGCAAGGTCACCCGCTCCAGGCTTTGGTTGAATCTTTGGCCATAACTCAAGCTTTGAAGACTCGATGGCAAAGTCACCTGCTCCAGGCTTTGGTTGAACCGGTTACCAAAACTCAAGCTTTGAAGACTTGACGGCAAGGTCACCCGCCGCAAGCTTTGGTTAAAATCCTCGCCAAAACTCAAGATTTGAAAACTCAATGGCAAGGTCTCTCGCTGCAAGCTTTGGTTGAAATCATCGCCAAAACTCAAGCTTTGAAGGCTTGATGGCAAAGTCACCTGCTCCAGGCTTTGGTTGAACTGATTACCAAAACTCAAGCTTTGAAGACCGGAGGGCAAGGTCACCTGCTCCAGGCTTTGGTTAAATTCAAAGCCAAAACACAAGTTTTGAAGACTCGATGGCAAGGTCACTCCTTTTAGGCTTGTGTTGAATTCATCGCCAAAAGTCAAGCTTTGAAGACTCGATGGCAAGGTCACTCCTTTTAGGCTTTGGTTGAATTCATCGCCAAAACTCAAGCTTTGAAGACTGGATGGCAACGTCACGTGCGCAAGGTCTTGGTTGAACTCATGCCCGAACGATAGTTTTGCGAGGCTGCACGGGAGATGATGTAAATGCTCTCCACACATTTCATTACTTTCTCAAGTTGTGTAACACCCTCTAGGGCAAACTCTCTCTCACAAGTCGGGAACCCACGTACATAACACCATGCAGCGTACAAATTTGTTGGGATGTAAGTGCAGGACAGCATTGTCGATTTTCCAATCCCTTGCTGTTCAAGGGTCTGATCCAGCACAAGCTTTTCATTCACATGATGCACGGCGAGCGTTGCCCCTGGCTTGCATGGAAACTCTTGCGACATCAATCTGCGCAGGTCATGCCCAAGCATGGAGCGAGGGACGCTTAATGCCACTCCTTCCCCAGTCAAGCACAGCATCTGAAGAACGACCTCGTCAGTTTCATCTGATGCATCTTTGTCGGCAGATGATGGATCCACATAGCCATGTTGTACACTGGACATTCGTCAGAAATTACATTGATTCACCTCGACACTATCCAACAACTCTTGAGCCAAATCCTTTTGCTTCCAAATATGTTCAACGTTTGGGGATGCCCAAACAAATGGCAACATACCGTCTGAGTACTCTTTGATTTTGGATCTGATCAATAACGAACTTTAATGAAACCCGTAAAGTATCATTTCGAATTAACAATAACGATCTTCATTGAGCATCCGGGCATAATGAAACCCCGTAAACTTGCCATGTTTTGCTCAAGTCCGTCACTCTAAAACATGGAATCACTTGTACGTAGTTTGAGGACAAAAACCAAACCAGTTGCCAAGGGTCATATTCCCAGTTGCCAAACATTTCTGTATGAGTCCAACATTGGATGGATTCGTGCGTTGGGACCTCCAATTTTTACCCATAGAGTGACTCAAATTTTGTTGATACCAAGAAGTTCAAAAAAGTCACTACTAATTTGATTGATCAGCTAATCACATCTCATACAAGTATGTATTCATATGTAATTCATCAGTCATTCTAATTTATTCTATATCATATATCATATATTATATATCATATATTATATATCATTGATATTAATATATTATAATCACCAGTGGTATCGTGGTATCACCATGTCTCACCATGGTCCCACGTTAGTCGTCCCAGTTTTCTGTCGCAGGTCGCCGAGAGCTGAACAGAGATCTGGCCTTTAAGGCCACAACGATCCCCTCGAACCAGCTGGTGCCCCAGTTGCAATTTATGTCGGATTATGTATGTTACCCTCTGGTAAACTAACAGTTTGCTATTGAAAATGGTCATTTTTATTGGGAAAATCCACTATTTCTATGGTCATTTTCAATAGCTATGTTAAATTACCAGAGGCTACCCCCATGACAACCAGATACAACCAGTATATCTACAATAAACCCATATGATCCATATCCCATAGGATCCATGGTGCTGCTATATATGGTAACATGGATCCCATCAATATACCCCCAATGTTAGCATATATACCATACATGGATCCTATGGATATGGTTATATTGGATGCTTTTAGAGTTGTGCTTCCCAACTTAGCTAACGAGTTGGGGCATCAGTTCTTTCAGTCTTCTCAGATTATCCCTGCAAGGTGTGGCACGCATCTGCACAAAGCATTGCCAACGAGGCTGTTGAATTCGTGGCTTTTGTTGACAGTTGCGGCTGACCTTCTCCGGAAAACCAGAACATATGTCCAAACTGCAGAAACGACTGCAACGGAACATTCAAATGCGACCCGTGCAAAAGGAGACCACACAAAACACTGGCAAGGCCAGAAAATGTAGATGAAACATGATGAAACCTCAACAAACATGTCTGGTTTCGCGTCCAAAATAGGACATCATACGGGTGGCTCCTCTCGAGGAACCCTGGGAGCCAGCCAGCAACACCCAAGTGGTCACTTGGCGATCTTGGTGGCTCATTCATCCACAAATCAGGATGTACTATCCATAGGTAGACCCAAAAATTACTTAAATCCAAGTAGTCGACCTTATCTGAACATATTCGGCAACACGCACACACAACCGAGATTAGACTTGTGTGGTCATTCATGTGCCGCAGAATGTGCAACAAAAACCATCTTTGTACAGGAAAATATCCCTCACGAAATGCCACCTAGGCTCGAGCTGCGATCAACATAAGGGACTTCCTGCATGGATTTCATACCATTTCCAATACCCTCTGGTAATTTAACATAGCGAACTGGAAAATCAACATGTTCAATGGGAAAATCTACTATAAATGGCATTAAATGGCCATTTTCAATAGCTATGTTAGTTTACCAGAGGGTAGGTCAATCGCAATATATAACTGGGCCATTTTCCATAGCTAGCTTACCAGATGGAAACAACATGTCAGAAATCTATAAGAACTGCATGTTCCACTGCAGATTTCTGTTATAAAAGAGCGGTGGAAACTTGCTTGTCCACAGTGAAATTCTTGAATCAAGACTCTGCGTTTTTGGTGCAGGGAAGGAGCTTTGGAGTGTGCCCAGGAAGGAAAATGCTGGGCTGCTCCGTCTCCTAGACGCACTTAAGGGGTATCTATTGCCCTTTAAGAAAGACACCTGGCAACAGTAGATTTTTCCTTGGCAAAGGATAATTGATATCAAAGTGTGATTTTTCCACTGCCAGAAGCAGTATGGCTACTCTTCGTCAAGTTGGACCCTTATCAATCCATGATCCGCTTTCAGTGCTTGAAAAACAAAGATGCCCTTGGGGCCATCTGAAACCACAGATCTTGAAACTTCTGGCAACATCCGCATTTCCTCATTTTTCTGCTACCAAACTCTGATATGTTTCTTGGTTCAAGGGGTTAAACTATCAATAAACATCGACATCTATAGCCGTCCATGTCCTGGGAAAGTCCAGTGAACCCCAGCCCAAAACGGCGGCCTCAACGGCCAGGGTCAGCCACGTTCAGCCATCCGGGAGGCTGTGAAGAGATCCGTGAAGTATCTCCATCCCACCTGGAGCTATACCCATAGGATCCATGGTGCTGCTATATTTGGGATCCATATTGATGGGATCCATGTTACCATATATATACCATATATACCAGCACCATGGATCCGTTATGGGATCGGATAGGGTAAAGAAACCTATTGTCCCATCAATCCGGGGTTTTGGAACACTGCTCAACTGATTCTGCGCCGTGGTCATGCCAGATGGTGTATATGGTAGCAATGGTCATCCTGCCATCAGAAGGGATTCCTGTCATGTGCCGGGAATTTAAATCCTATGAATAATGGATTGATGAGCATCCCCCAATCTTGGGTATGTAATCCAGGATTCAACTATGGTAACTATACGGCACATATGGATTAAACAGCATTAAAAAAAAATGGTCTACTACATATGTAATATACGTGGATTGATGACATACCATCTAGGGGCTCACAACGCAGATTTTTTGGGGAATACGTTTATTTGTAATCAACATGTTTCAAGAATGGAGTTGTAACCTACAAACAGCATGGGTACGGGGAGATGTAGCTCCAGCTGCAGTGAACACACCAAACCAGGTGGATTACATCCTGAAACCTGAAAAAATGCAATGTTTTTGACATCTGCATCCACCATTGATTATGGTCACGGAATCAATTCAGAACCATGCAACTCTTGCCAGGATGGGGTGAGCATCCATGATCTTACCAGCAGCCAAAATACAATTCAACATACAATCGCGGCTAGCCTTTGATCCATGTGGCTTGGTCTAAACGTATCGTAATTCTTTCTGAATCCAGTCATTACATGTAATTTTCCTGAATCTTCCCATGTTCAAATTGCCGCTTTGATCAACAGGGACCTCGGTAGCCCTGGTTTTCAACCGAGTGGCTGTGAAGAGGGACCCCTGGATTCCTGGTCCGCCATCCGACAAACTCTGGACATGTTTGTTGCATCAAAGACAAACATCGTTGGACTCCAAAAACAGAGGCTGTTTGTTTGTTAACATATTTTTTGGACACAAAAATAATGGAAACACAATTCCCGAAATCAGTCTTGTTGGTACATCAATTGAATCACTCCAATTGAAACAGCTGGTTTCTCCAGCTAATGGGTCCCCTAAAGTCCGATGGTTGATCAGCATACCCGGCCCAAAGTTTCATATATATATATATACAGTATATATATATATATATGTATATATATACATATGTACATCCCATCACATATCCCTATGTTGGTTGGATATTGTATATATATATCTACATATAACAACCAATTTAAACAGTGATTTCCCCATATTCCCCCCATCCCCCACAGCTCCCACGGCGGATCTGCCAAGGCTCCATTGGCCAAGATACGAGTCTTGAGCCCGCGGGACCAGAGTCCCAGAAAGCCTTCGTTGGCGATGATACTTCTGGCCTCGGCACGTTTACCCTCTGGTAAACTGAAATAAAAAGCTATTGAAAATGGCCATAGAAATAGTGGATTTACCCAGCTATAAAATGGTGATTTTCCATAGTTATGGGACAGTTTACCAGAGGGTAACGGGTCACGTTGTTTGTTTAACGTGGATTTGCGAAGGATGAAAAGTTGGGGATTTCTGAAGGATATGAATGCTTGATTTAGGATATGTAAGTTGGTAAATCAGTAGACTAAGTATTAGATTTATTTGGAATTACTTGGATATGGTGAATATATATATACGGTTGGATGTAAACACAATCAATTTATAAAGGGAAGGGGTCCCATCGTGCAGGTCGAGGGTCAACCCTTAAGGCTAAACGTGGGAGAGCTGGATGAATCAGATCAAACTTCGCTGATGTATCACTGTTCTGGTAGGATTTGACTGTTCTATCATTTGTGGGGCTACTATAATACTATATTATGTAATTATATATGTATACTGTATCTATACACATATACATACATAATCATATATATATATATGTATATACATATATATATAATATTATTATTACATAGTTATACATGAAATATATTCATACATACGTACATACATAATCACAAAAATATAATATATAATTCTTTACATATATATATAAATACAATATATATATATATGTATATATATAATGTATAATATGTATATATAATTAATATATATATATAGTATATATCAGGCACTTCCATCCTGCTTGAAGGGCCACTTCCATGCATCTGTCACTACCCAGCTCCATGAAGAAAATCAATTGCTGCAAAGTGACAGCTTCCCAATAACCTCAGTAAAGTCATGCAGCTGGTGCAAGCTGTGACGGGATCTTTTGGTGAAGCAACTGGTGAAACACAGCCGCTATATTATGTATATTATTATTGCATAGTTTTATATATATATATATTATATCTAATTTATAATATAATCATATATACATAGTATATATACATAATGATGTATATATATGTATAATTATATATAAAAAGTACTGTATCACGCTGAGTGTGAAGCCTCCAAAACCAAGAAATTGTGGGACATGTGGGACAAACATTTTTCATGATTAAGTTTCCAAACCAATATCCATAAAAAGAAAAAACAAACAAGGTGAGAGTGAAGGTTCAGTCAGGTTAAACAGGAACTGAACCACAATCACACCGACATCAACAAACCGCAATTTCACATAGTACCACTGAATACCACTGCCATAGTCTAATATAATTACACACTTACATCATACTCATCATCATCATCATCATCATCGTCATCATCACCACCACCGCCACCACCACCACCACCAATCATCTCCAGCACCCCAACCTTCCCCTTCCCCCTTCCCCCTTCCCCCTTCCCCCTCACCATCCATACCATCCATCCTCATCTCCGGGCCACCGGTGCGCGTCAAGGACGCCTGGCGGTTCACCTTCAACACGCGGATGGGGTTGCACAAGGTATCCGCCACCACCGAGGAGGTGAATCCAATGAAGGCGTGCCGCAGGTGCTTGCCGTAACTGGGAGAACGTGGGAGAACGTGGGGGCCACGGTGCGGAAAGTGGGGGATGGCTATCCCGGTGCGGAAAGGGGGGGATGGCTTGGTGGAAGTTGAAGTTGGTTGAACATGTTGAAAAGGACATTTGGTTGAGTTTTTGATGTGGCGGGTTCAGCAATGAACATGTAATTACAGGACAATCAAAATATAATGACAATTAATGACAACAAGATAACAAGGGAAAACAAAAACAACAGGGGCAGCGACATGGAGGGGGAGCTGCATTGGAAGCAAGGTCTCGGCCTGATCTCGAATTCAGGAACGATCTCCCGCAGAAGATTGTTGGTGTAGAACCACCTGAAACCGACCAAAATGAACTGCCAGGATTGAAATGAATCTGTCTTGATTCGCCATCATGAACAACAGCAGCAGGTCTTACGACCTGCTGTCTTCTCTCCCGGCATTCCGAATGAAAAATTGTCATTTGTTTGGCAAAATCCTGAGAATTGGTGGTTCCTGAAAAGGAAGCAAGAAGGATCTTTATCACGCATCCCGAGAAATTCAATGTCAAAGGCAGATAAAGGGGCAATACCAACCACCAACAAGGAACCAGTGGTCTAAGTGGGAGTTTTGGGCTTCTGTCTTGACTCTAATCATATCCAATCAACCCTCGGCCGAGATGCTGGTAATGCCCAAAACCTTGAGTAAAGAGCACTCCAATGCCCCCATGCCAGAGGGCAAAGGGATTCTGTCTAGCCTGGCAGATGGCCATGATCCATTCTGAACTTCTGGGACCTTGGGTTTGGACCTGGATTGAAGACAGCTCATGCGCACTCAGCACTGTGGCACTGCAACGTTAAAAAGTACAGTAGTACATATGGTAAACCTACGGTAACCCAGAAAAAAAAACAACGACCATTTGAGGATGGCTCGGTCACACCTACTTATGGCAAGTCCCCGGGAATGCACTGGGCTAAACCCACGCTTAGCGCCACAAAAAACCAGCGGCCCCGTGAGCCTTGTAAATCAAATGTTCAAGTCCGGCCTCGATCTAGTACACGGAAGAGATCCACAAAGATATATGGGGAATACTACGATTGGGTAATTTCTTGTAGACAGCCCCAAAAGATAGGTCTTTGAAAAGTGTTTCCACGATGTTGTAAATGATGTTTCCTCCAGTTTTTTCCAGGATTGCAGCTGTTGTATCGTTTTGGGGCCATACATTATCTATGAACGACATGGATCAAGTTCAGACAGGGTGATCTTCCATAGCTATTGGGTAATCAGCACATACATCGAAGCATACCCCTTTAAACCAGCCACCATGGGGATACAATTGGGATAGAACCGACAATATATAAAATCTGGTTGGTGGTTGACCTACCCCTCTGAAAAATATGAATTCGTCAGTTGGGATTATGACATTCCCAATATATGGAAAAATAAAATTCATGTTCCAAACCACCAACCAGAAATGATATGAAATGATATGACATGGGTTTGTCGGTTTGTCCATAAATGGAGTATCTCCAAACAAAAATGCAATTTCAGTAGGGAAACTGATGAAAAAATCGCTGGATTTTGGAAATCTTGGGTGTACCTTAGGCCTTAGGACTTTGTGGCCTCGGACCCAACAACATATATCTGGGTAATTTATAATATTTCACTAACCTGAATAGTTCGGCCATTTGGGGATGATTTCCCTAAAATAAACCATGATTTCCAGGGTTCGGGAGAACAGTGAGGTCGTTATATCTTCCCAAAACCAGGTTTCCAAACACCTTTGGAACCGGCAGAGACGGCTCAGTGTCCAACCCAAGGGATGACATTCGGACCGGGTCCGCTATGTTTACCAACATTACAATGGCAACCCCATCATTCAATTGGTCCACAACACATGGAACAGCAACTTTTGGATCTATCTTTGGAAGGAACCATAGAATTTAAACATATTTAAACTGGTTCTATCTTCATTTCAGATGGAAATTTACATATATTTACCATATCTGAAGTGTTGCTTAGTTACATCCCCCATGTCTTAGTGAAACCCTGCCAATTGGAATCATCTCTACACCAGCCCCAAAGCCATCCCTCAATGACTTGCTTCTCCACCCAGCGGCTTTGCCATGCACTTGCTTCATGACCTGCCCAGCAGGAACTGTGTTGGGAATTGAACTACCAAAACAGACCACGATTCTTGTAACCAACAAAACAAACAGCAACGTTGGGTGGTATGACATGGTATAACCAACAAAAACTGAAGGGGCATGAGCAATGGAAAAAAGGGGGTCACATAATCGACGAGGAGAGAATGAAGATGGAATCCCGGATCGTCAGCTCGTGGGTTAATGTGAAACAACAACTTCGAGATCATCACGTTTTCAATGTTCACGGTATACGTTATCACCAACATGTATTTCTGGTTTTCTGGTTGTCCCAATATACAGTTGTCATCCAAGTAGTTTCAAAATACCATTGGGAGTGTCTAAAAATCGAGCATGCCCCCACTTGATTGTCCATGTCTAATGGAAAAATATGAGAAATCGCTGGATTTCAGGGGTACCATTTTTTTAAACACACCCAAAGTTTCATGCTTTGTTGAGCGTCTATTCATCCATCTATCTATCTATCTATCTATCCATCCATCCATCCGTCCATCCGTCCATCGATCCATCGATCCATCGATCCATCCATCCATCCATCGACCCATCTATCCATCTATCATCTATCTAATCTATCTAATCTATCTATCTATGTAATATAATATAATCTGACCCTAATCTATCTATCTATCTATCTACCCTATCTATCTATTTATTTATCTATCTATCTATCTATCTATCTATCTATCTACCTATCTATCTATCCAATCTAATCTAATCAAATCTAATCTACTCTAATCTAATCTAATCTATCAAATCTATCTAATCTATCTAATCTATCTAATCTATATAATCTATATCTATCTATCTATCTATCTATCGATCTATCCATCTATCCATTTTTCCATCTATCCATCTATCCATCTTTTCATCCATCCATCCATCCATCCATCTATCCATCCATCTATCCTATCTATCCTACCTATCTATCCATCTATCTATCCATCTATCTAATCTTATCTCATCTATCTGATCTATCTAATCTATCTAATCTATCTAATCTAATCTAATCTAATCTATCTAAAATCTAATCTTATCTAATCTATATATCTATCTATCCATCTATCTAATCTTATCTAATCTTATCTAATCTATCTAATCTATCTAATCTATCTAATCTATCTAATCAATCTAATCAATCAACCAATCCATCTACCCATCTATCCATTTATATATGTATCGATTCATCTATCTATCTATCTATCTATCTATCTACCTTTCTATCTATCTATCTATCTACCTTTCTACCTATCTACCTATTTTTCTACCTACCTACCTACCTACCTACCAACCTATCTATCTATGTCTATCTATCTATATTCGTCTATAAATATATATATATATATAATATGATATAAATATATATATATACATACTCATCATATCCCCATTTCATCCCATGATTCAACGATATTTATCTGCCCCTGGACCTTCCAGGCATCCAAGGGCAGAATCGCCACACGAAAGCCAGCAGCGGTCACTGAGGCACCTAGGGATTTTCATCAAATCGGATCCAGGCGCTGGATAATGATGATATCAGTATCATTAATGAAATTGGTTAATACATATTAATAATAATTATAGTGATGCTGATTCATAATGGAATATGAATGGTGAATCAACTATAAATGTGGGGATAAATCATTAATAGTGATTAATCATGCTGAATCGTGATATAATGCGGGAAATCCAATCATAGTCAACTACCAGTTGGGCATGATTTATACCACCCATTTATGGTGATTTTGAGGATGGTTTGTTATTGGGTTTACCACATGATTAATTATGGCTCAGCATCAAATTATTTCCACAGTAATAATCCAATAGTACAATGTTATTCACCATGGCGCTTTAAACATTGCTTGATTAGTGATATATACTCACTGATCAACTGTCGATTAATATCAGTATAATACCACTACTGATATAGTTTCAGGCAACTACTACCCAGTTATATATTATGTTTTTAATACTCAGTACTATCTATCATCATGTCTATCGATATAGTTAATTAGTAAGTATTAATCCATATCTGCAGTGCGTACAGTAACATGAATATTAGTAGTTATCATCCAGGAGTTTTATAGTTGAATAAGTATCGCATTGCACGGATCTGATTTGTAGTTGAGTAATTTTTGATGTGATCATGAATTCAGTACGGACATAGATTTTCTGGTATAACTATAACTATGTATACCCGACCTATCAATATGTCAGATATTTCATGAGACTATTATTCTCCAGAGTGTTACATCAAGTTACACCTCCGGAGTCCGAAATATGTCGGATTTTTTTATATGTCCAGACAATTCCATTCTTATGAAGATATAGATGAGTTGAATGGAAATCCCCCAACTGAATTGGAGGTTTAGTTCGCTGGGAAAATCATCGAACTGAATTGGAGGTTTATAGCTGGGAAATCCACTATAGCACGGAACAAAAACCCTATTTCTCTATGAATGGTTTTTTTTTCATGCTAGCTGCAGCTGAGGCTCAAAGCGTCTTTGCCGCCAAGGGCATGTCCAAATGAGCCAAGCCTTGGTGTTTTGTCCAGCTGGTCATTTAATTGTTGAGATTTAATACAATTTACTGCGATTTAATCGTGCCCTGGATTTTGTTGTTGTTGGATTTTGAAAGTTTTTGATGCATTTTGTTGTTTTTTCTGTTTTTTTTGGCTTAGTTCTCGGTTTTTTACATCCACTGACAAAGTTGCTTTGTTTCCCAAATTATATAAGCAGAACATCATGCCACCATCAACTCCAGCATTCTTCCTTTCCTAGGTACTTGGTTTTCAAATTTTACTCCGCAAACTAACATGACTATGAAATATCACAATTTTCAATAGCAATCTGTTTACAGCAGGGTAACCACCAACCAACACCCAGTGACCATATCCTTGATGTTCGGTGCCGAGGTACTGGAGAGAGCTAACTCATTAGCAGCCTGGAGGAGTTCTACTTTCAGTTGCTTGGTTTAGGGAAAAAGGTATGACCAACACATAACTAAAAACAACAGTATAATATATACCTAGGGTATGTTGAAAACATATACCAAACATATATATATATATAATTATATATATATACACACCAAACGGTATATCTGGGTATGGGTAACTATACTTAGGGCATTATGCCCCGGCATATCGTTCAATCTGAGGACTTGGCCCAAAAATGAATGTGGGTCTACAAGCCAGCCTTCGATATGACGTTATATATACATACACAAAAGAAATTGACAAATATGGAAGTTGTAACAAGCCTGAAGCCTGGTTCATCCAACTGATTATCACCGGATATCACCGGTAAGACACCATGATAGGGATTAGAATCGCTCGTGGAATCAAGAACTAGATTTACCGTCTGCTTGCTGAGGAAACAAACATCTACATTATTCCCAACCAGGGGTAACACGGCTTGTCAACTTCACAATTCATGTCTGCTTGGTGGTTGAGCCACCCCTCTGAAAAATATGAAACCCTGTTAGGGTGATTACTCCTAATATATGGAAAGTCATAAAATTCCATGGTTCCAAACCACCAACCAGATTTATACTGGATAAATTAGTATAATTTCAGAACCCTGGAAAAGGGCCATCGCGTCTATTTTCCAGTAGTTGCCCCAATCCTAACCGTCATAAAAAAGTGACGTCACCACGAGAGGTCGATCTAAATCATCCAGATTATCCTCAGTTTATCCCCATCATATCCCAATGTTACCAACATGTTTGTTGGTTAAGTCAGCATTTTTTCATGCTTGAATCACTATGAAATCACAATAAATCACCACTAAGGAGCCGTGTCGCCAAAGCGTGCTGTGGGCGCGAGAAGCATCGCAGGCCTTCATGAAATTTGGTTGAGTGAAGTGGATTTAAGTGGAAAGTGTGTGTGTATATATATATATATAATGCCCGTTTTTTTTGGTCGATCTTCAAATCAATCAGAGCTGGTTTAAAGTCCTTCCAATCATTCAATTTGCTAAGTCTGGCAGAAAATGTGCCCCACAAAGTTCACACAGCTTCCCCGCACAGCCAGTATCACCACCATCGACAACCATCACAGGGCATTTGCTCAGTTGAAGGGGCGACTTAATAAAAAGTTGACCGGAAATCAGGAAACCATTTTTTAATGTCCCTGCAATATGGATGTTTTTTGTAAATGTTCCTTTGAAATCCGTGTTTTTACCCATTGAAACGTGCGGTTTCATTTTCTCGCCAGGACTGTTCCCTCCAATTTCTGCCAGAACTTGGCGCCCAGGTGCAAGAAGCCGCGATAGAATCTTCGAACGCCACCCTCCTTCCAAAGAGTTTGAGCCACCTTAGCCATGCCCTCGCCATTCCTCGGAGTCTGGAGATTTCTAGGAGTCTGGAACCAGTGGCGCCTGGGTATTTGTACATGACATTACCCTCTGGTTATGACTAACATAGCCATGGAAAATGGCCCATTTATAAATGGTTTACCTATTAACAATGGTGGATCTTTCCATGGCAAACTGTTAAATAACCAGATGATATCACAAAGACAACGTAATCACATCACCATAATTCACCATACATTTTTAAAGGAATACCTGGCTTTGAAAATGGGGTAATTAGCCACCCACCAAGTAGCAGATATTTATATGTCATCCCTCCACTGCCGGGCGTCTTGTACTGATATTCCATAATGGTACGCAGCCACATCAGTGGCACAATGTACATCACCTGATCTCCGCAATGAATGGATCATGGGGTAAAAAAAAGGGAAGCAATGAACAAATCTCAACAGTTCTGTAGGGCACGGCTTTCAGGAAGAGTTTCTGTTTTTCTTGTTCTTTGGACCATTGGCATGGGGCCTGTCCTAACTTTTTCTGCTTTTGAAAAGCGCGCTTATCAACACTGGAATCAACACGTCATGCAGGCTGGATGGTTTCATCCACTCCCAGGGACAGCACAAGGATTCCAAAATCAGCAACACACACACCAAACCAGGCAGGACACGTCGACAAAATCATATACCCCTACTTGGGATATCTCTGGATGATTTATGATAGCCCCCGTTCACAATGCTGTTGTATGTTGTGTTATTGTGAATTTTACAATATATGTACATTGATCCCTTCCCCCGTTCATAGTAAACATCCTTCAGAGCACCATTGTGTAATAGGGTATTCACACATGTCTGAGACCATTAACCATGAGGGTGTTAAGGGTTAAGGGAATGGACATAATGCTAGTAAAGCGATAGTAAACCATCCTTAATTTTCAACATCTATGGGTGGTATAAACCATCAAAATATGGGCGGTGTATGAATTAAATTATTGCTGTTCTAAAAGAAATCAAAAACAAAATCCAATATGTACGTACCCCTATTTCAGAGGATTTATGATGATTTATAGTAGCATGGTGTACTATAGTGGATCCCAACATTCATGTTAGAATTAACCATAGTTCAACGGTATGAACATGAACCATACAAACCCATATGCTCCATGTATAGTATATTTACCTACACTTGGGCCATTTGTTGGGTAAATGTAGGTCAATATTCCATACATGGAGCATATGGGTTTGTCTGAAAATAGGGTATATTCCCAATTATAGCCATTTAATAGGGATAATGATCATTAACCATTGGGTTTAGGGGTACACTATTTTCAGACACACCCATATGGGAAACTATGGCTATTTGATCTTCAAAACCGCCATGCTCCGATGCCCTGCCATGCCCTGCCTGTGCACATCCCCCCGCCATCCCGCTGATCAGCGCCGCGCTCACCGTGCTGGGCGCCAGCAGGTTGCTCGGCGTCATGGGCTGCTCGTGCGCCGCGTGCGCCGCATTGGCCATGGCGAGGCAAACCGGGACGGGGTTGGGATTTATATGGGATCTAGTCATTGTTTAAAGATGGGGAAATTCATGTTGATGGATTTATTTGATTTTTGAATCTGGGGAGATTAATGTTGATGTGCTTTTTTTTTTTTCCTGAAGCTGTTGGGATGCTGTTTTAATGCTGATTTTGGACTGGGAGAACACCTTTCTGCTCCTTGATTTGCCACGGAAAACAACGAAGTGCCAATTATAGGCTCTTTCTTGAGAAAACACAAAAGTTGGATTTTCAAACTTTACTCGATGTTCCAACGACAAGGTTGTCTTTTGGTCGCTGAAAGACTATTGTTTTTGTTCACTGCTAAGCGCTCTCCTCATGTAGAAGGCGGCATAGCTTTCTTTGTTTCAGGGGCTGCTGAGCTGAGTCACGTCCCATGCGGCTGGCAATGGAAGAGGCTGCGGACAGAAAGACAAATCAATCCGCAAGCCCATTGATGTTTCATGCAAACCCCGGCAGTTGCCATCCATATCCATCCATGATCCTGCAGATAATCCCCAATACAATAGGTTTAACACGGTTTAACCGTTTAACGCCCAGTTTACCATCACCAATCAGGGCCCCCAAAGAACGCATGCTGAAACCATCCGGGTTCCCATGAGCCATGACAAAAAGGATAACGCCTTTGCCAGCTGGTGGTCGAGCTCGGGATCCTCGCAGTACTGTTGAACAAATTCAGAACATGGGATAACATGGGACCATTGGGACTATCCCAGGATATCCTTAAACGGCATGCAGCATGATGGTTGCCGCAAACGCTTTGGACTTCAAGAGCCGAAGTTCTTTCAGTGGGGACTCAACGTTGGGGAGTGTTTCAACAAGGGGTTGTGGTGTCTTTGTGGAGATTAAAGAACAAACAAATAAAAAACGGAAAGGCCTGCTGTGAGCAGTGGATTTCAATCGTCTGGGGTAGATGCCACCCACCAACCAAAACAGATTATTGTACCCACTAACTAGCATAGCTGCAAATTCCCATAGGTAGCTGTCAAATGGATTTGACCCCCGCTTCATCGACAAAAAAAATTGGTTTGTTTTGCAGTTCTAGTAATCAAACACGGTGTGCTGGAAAATCCAAGAATTATATTTGGTTTTCACAGCGAAATGCCATTTATACGGGATTTTCCCACCAGCTACGCTTTTTTTGGCACCGAAGAGTAAATGTTTCAACATGTTCAACTACCAACCAGCAGTCCTGGGTCGACTCTTAGCCGCCGTGCGCTTGGCCTGTCCGCTGAAGATGGTAATGGATGGATGATGGTACCCGGGGTACCCGGGGTACCCCCATTTCAGGAAACCTCCAAATGACCAACACCCAAGAATGAAGAGCCTCTCGAAATTGTACTTTGGAAATCCACATTCCACAGTGCTTTGGGGAGCGTATGGCAAACATGCGATATGAAAGGACAAATGTGTCCTCTCGGGAATATCTTACCGCAACGGGGCAAACAATACCCACAAATCTTCCAAGCTAAACTCTGTTCTAAATCTGTCGGTTCAAAAGCAAACCAACGTTCCACATGAACAGTCACATTATTGCCATTGAGGCAAAATATACAAGGCACGCTTCGGTGAAATCAGAAAGGCAGTGCCATCTAGGGATTGATAATGATTATTCAGAAATGCTCGAGATGGCCTTGGAAAATCCCAGAAACATCCTTGAATCTTCGACACCCTTGCCCCAAGCTGAACCTTGACTGGAGCCTTAGGTTCGGAGCCATGGAACCTCGAAATGCGTCCAGTGGAGCAACAGATTCTTGTCTCGTTCATGTCTAACCAGGACCATGCAGGAGATGCCCTGCAAATCAACGATCCAAGAAGCCGAGAAAAAGTGGGAACAGTTCATATAGTTCCGACTTTTTGTGTAGAATTCATCAACCATTAACATTCATCAACCATTCACATTCATTCACCACGCGCTTATTCATTCACTGCAACCTCTGAGTCCACCACTCCGGCTCCGCGGGCTCCGCGGGCTCCGGCTCTGCGGGCTCCACCGGACGTGAGCAAACCTGGTCCGAGGTCCATCCATGGGACGAGGTAGACTGATTCTATATCTGGGGATGTCCTGCCCCGAAGAATTCGTGGGACACTGGCACAAACCACCATAAATCACCATTAATCACCATAAATCATGTGGCAAGCACATCTCTGAATCATTGACACCCAAGTGTGGTAGTTTGGAACATTTTGGATCTATATGACATGCCCTCGAACAAATCAAACATCCTATCACTGGTCATTTTGTTTTCTCCATCCCGCAGAGTTTCATTCAGCAGGGGTAAATTCAAGAAGAAACTACCTATGGCCTATGACTGGAAGGAATCAGTTTCTTTTATTCACCATGACTTTCTAGCGATTTCTTCCATTTTGGTACCTCGTGGTGTACCTTGGGTCCAATTTCCCAAGCCTCCTCGATTGGCACTCTTAATGGCACATCTTCCTGCGTCATCTGGGCAAAGAACTGCGGGAGCTCAGCAGCTGTCCTGGGCGATCCATGGAGATCCATGGAGATCCATTGGTGCCATGGGAATGGCCATGAGACAACTTGGGGAAAAACAAAACATGTCCATTTTGAAAGGCTGATTTGGATAGAACCTGATAGAACCCCTTCAAGCTCTTGACAGTATTCCGACGATTTGCAACAGTAAGACCACCCCCAGGGCAGTTTTGGGTTGAATAGTTTCACATATAGTTTCACAACGGCTATCCCAAGTACGTTACATCCGAAGCAACAGGAAGCACCGAACACCAAGTCTCTGATTTGATCCTTCCTGGAAAGAAGCGACTGATGCATCAGCTGACAGGTTCTGGCCAGGGCTTTCTGCATGACTCACCTCTGGCTGGACCGATTCCACCTTAGCCAATCGTCATCCTATGATATCCCGTTTCCCGACTAGCCTTTGACACTCAATGATTGCAAACAGCGCGCCTTTGTGAGCAAAACCATTCAGGGTCAAGTGTTGCAAGAAATGAGTGTGGATCAGACCAGAACCCAAAATGAATGGTTCATACTCGGTTTCATTGATTAACTCGAAGATTCTCTCCCAGCATATGATATCATATGTATATACAAAATAAAACCCTTCAATATCCAACGTTGTTGATTAATGTTGATTATATATCTACATGATAACCTATCATACTTCATACAATCAACATCAATCAACCCTATAAAAAATCTGTCATTCATTACTCATCTCATCATCCAAGCGTCCTGCGAGGCCTGGGAGACCTTCATCCCCTGGTCGCGGCCCTGGCCGCCCTGGCTGTCCGTGTCCACGGGCGCCGCCAGTGGATCCACCGAGTCGCTCCGCTGGCTCTCGGGCAGCGCGGCATGCGGTGCGGCAGCCGCCTGGGGCATGGAGAAAAGGGGCTGGGATGGCCGGAAAAATCGGAAAAATATCACTTGGCCTGGATCAAGATGGATCAAATATCGAGATTTGATTTTTTGGGAGCTGACAACTTGTGACAAATTGTGACAACATGATGAAATCATGATGAAATCGCAATCTAAAAGGAAACAAGTGATTTCATAGCTTAAACAAGTATGGCAGCAATCACGTACCCCAATCACTTCATGTTTGGGAAGATGTAAAAATACATAGCAAGGCCAGCAATTCACAAGACTGATGTTTTCCCCAAGGCTACAGTGACCATGGCTTGAATTCATCTATGGGCTGTGGTCTGGCAAAAGGTCTCTCCAAAGTATCCAGGATTGTTGACGGCCAAACCCCTTATACCCTCGTACAGTAGTTCAGTAGTTCACATCCTACAAATAAGTTCGGGTTGTGCGCTAATACCCATGTTGGGAAAGATCGTAGGTTTGGACGCAGACCCATTTTTATAGTGTGATCAACCTAATTCATAAACCCCATTGATTGCCGGATTCCTATCAATCTCCGCAAAACATTTGGTTGCTTGGGCTGCTAAACCCCCACCCAGTACCATCATCTACCCTCCAGGTCTGCAGCAAACATGGGATTCCTGCTATATAGGTTCATCCACAGTGCTTATCCTCAGTTATCAGTTGACATTGTTCAAAAATGGGCTATACTTCGTAGGCAAACTCAATCAGTGGGCAAAATGAAGGTTTTGTCCATTGGAATGATGATCCGACTTGGTGATACGCCCCATCTTCTCCTCCAACCACTGCATGGTTGGTTGATGAAGACGTCTTAAAATGAAGTTTAGACACATTATCCCAGTATCAAATATATTCATGATTGTATCCGCTCCCCAATTGTTCAGCGAAATGTTGGTGTAACACTGTACAACCAACCCTATTATTATCAACCAATCAAAGCATACAATAACAGTTGGAAAACTTGATGGGGAGATTATGGCCTTCTACCGGTCCAATAGTCACTTTTTATATATATATATATATAAATATGAATATGTGCATACATATATGTGTGTATGTATATGTATATATGTATGTGTCTATAATAAAAAATACATATATATATATAAATACATTATAGGAAGTAGATACATAGCACATGAATATATAATATAACTATATAACTATAGGTAGCACGTAGGTACTTTGAGGGAGTATGTGTGCTACGTAGGTCGTTTCAACGGCAGCATGTACCTACTAAATGCGAAGCTGGTAGTCAGAATCGCTGCAAACACCTAGCAAATACGAGGCTGGACCTCAGAAATGCTGCCAATAGCTTGCAAATAGAAGGGAACGGGGTGCTACACGGGGACCCACGCCATTGGGGGAGACACGTTACACAAGACCATATATACACATTCTCTATTATATAGATTTATATGTCCCCCTAGAATTATTAACCAACAGCCAACCAATAATAATAGTTGGGTAATAATTGAAGGGAATATTATTTTTCCCTTTATTCTATATAGTCCCTCTCTTCAATATTTAACCAATGAACTAATAATGCTTGGGCACTAAACACATATACCATCCATATACATATATACCGATAAAATCCCATAAATTTGTTCCAATGCCAATTATCTACATTTTCAATAATTGATTCAGACATGGAAATAATGGGTAGTACCCTCCAGTACTCAAACATGGTTTGCTGGGAAATCAACCATTTAGTTCGTTGATTCTCCCAGCTCCAAGCCTCCATTTCGGGGATTTTCACTTGCCATGTTTGATTACCGGAGGGTAAAATGAATAACAAACGAATCGGTGATTAAGCTACAAATCCCTAGAAGAAAATACACATTAAGCCCATTAAGCTATAATTCCCGAGAAAAAGATAATTACATCATTACGTTATCATATAAGTTATAATTCCCTACAAATCCCCATAGCAATGTCCCTCCACCGCCTCCGTCATTGCTGCCACCTCCGGTGGCGACGCTGGCTCCGTGGTCGCCACCGAGGCGCCCGGCGAGGCCAGCGAGGCCGGCGAGGCGGCACCTTCGGGGTCGGGGGGACGGGATGGGGATGGAAAATCCTGGGATTTTATCGAGATTTTATTGAGATTTGATTGGGATTTTATGGAGATTTATGGGATGGGGGGATGGGGATGGAGTTGGAGAATGATGGAGATGATTTGATGATGAATTGTCTTGTGAATTCTGACATTCTGGAGCTTGAAGGGGAAGAATGGGGTGACCTGACTGGGATGTGTGAAAATAACCCGAAACCGCAGGGCAAAAGACTTGCAAAGCAACAATCGTAGGCCCACAAGCATGGAACATTTATCCAGGAATGGGGGTCGAAAAACGTTGAAAACGCAACATGTCCCGAGCTGAAGTCTTGGACAAGGTGCCGTCGGCGTCACTTGCGATGCCATCGTTCCCACTGAGATTTCTTTGCATCATCCAAGCGTCCTGCGAGGCCTGGGAGACCTTCATCCCCTGGCCGCGGCCCTGGCCGCCCTGGCTGTCCGTGTCCACGGGCGCCGCCAGTGGATCCACCGAGTCGCTCCGCTGGCTCTCGGGCAGTGCGGCATGCGGTGCGGCAGCCGCCTGGGGCATGGAGAAAAGGGGCTGGGATGGCCGGAAAAATCGGAAAAATATCACTTGGCCTGGATCAAGATGGATCAAATATCGAGATTTGATTTTTTGGGAGCTGACAACTTGTGACAAATTGTGACAACATGATGAAATCATGATGAAATCGCAATCTAAAAGGAAACAAGTGATTTCATAGCTTAAACAAGTATGGCAGCAATCACGGACCCCAATCACTTCATGTTTGGGAAGATGTAAAAATACATAGCAAGGCCAGCAATTCACAAGACTGATGTTTTCCCCAAGGCTACACTGACCATGGCTTGATTTCATCTATGGGCTGTGGTCTGGCAAAAGGTCTCTCCAAAGTATCCAGGATTGTTGACGGCCAAACCCCTTATACCCTCGTACAGTAGTTCAGTAGTTCCCATCCTAAAAATAAGTTCGGGTTGTGCGCTAGTACCCATGTTGGGAAAGATCGTAGGTTTGGACGCAGACCCATTTTTATAGTGTGATCAACCTAATTCATAAACCCCATTGATTGTCGGATTCCTGTCAATCTCCGCAAAACATTTGGTTGCTTGGGCTGCTAAACCCCCACCCAGTACCATCATCTACCCTCCAGGTCTGCAGCAAACATGGGATTCCTGCTATATAGGTTCATCCACAGAGCTTATCCTCAGTTATCAGTTGACATTGTTCAAAAATGGGCTATACTCCGTAGGCAAACTCAATCAATGGGCAAAATGAAGGGTTTGTCCATTGGAATGATGATCCGAATTGGTGATACGCCCCATCTTCCCCTCCAAACACTGCATGCTTGGTTGATGAAGACGTCTTGAAATGAAGTTTAGACACATTATCCCAGTATCAAGAATTGAAGGGAGTATTGTTACTCCTTATATTCTATATAGTCCCTCTCTTCAATATTTTACCAATGAACTAATAATACTTGGGCACTAAACACATATACCATCCATATACATATATACCGATAAAATCCCATAAATTTGTTCCAATGCCAATTCTCTCCATTTTCAATAATTGGTTCAGAAATGGAGATAATGGGTAGTACCCTCCAGTACTCAAACATGGTTTGCTGGGAAATCAACCATTTAGTTCGTTGATTTTCCCAGCTCCAAGCCTCCATTTTGCGGATTTTCACTTGCCATGTTTGATTACCGGAGGGTAAAATGAATAACAAACAAATCGGTGATTAAGCTACAAATCCCTAGAAGAAAATACACATTAAGCCCATTAAGCTACAATTCCCGAGAAAAGGATAGGTCACTAAGTACGTTATCAATAAGTTATATATAATTCCCTGCTTTGGGATCGCCGGGGACTTTGGCACTTAGTAAACGTAGTTAGAAGTTATGTATGCCTTGCGTAAGTGATGGGTATGTTACTTAAGTGATGGCTAAGTGATCAAAACTTAGGTGGCCCTTACTATTGACTTAGGTCACTTACAAGTGTAGCGTGTGCTAAGTGTTGGTAACTTAGCGATCACTTAGCGATCACTTAGCGATCACTTAGTTTTTTTTGAAAACATACATTTTTTGATTGACTTGGGTAATCTCCCAGGAAAAGTCATGTTGCGCAGCAATTTTGGTTCCAGTCATGGCAGCTGAAAGACAGATAGATGCCGCGCAGAAATTCCTACGTGGAATTGTGTCCTCGACCTTGCACGCGGATGTCAGGGACAAGCAGGCTCAAGGGGTGCAAAGGTCTTTGGAGAAGGTAGTCTCCTTCACTGCTGCCCAAGCGGCATTTTGGCTGGGGCTTCTTCAGGCAGATCTTTGGACTGTTGCGTTTGATACCTTCCGTGAGGTTGTTGCCGCCAAAACACGTCCCGTGGAGGTCGAAAGCAACCGTGATGGTGTTACCCAAGATTTTTCGTTATTGCCTTGTTATCTAAGTGATGATTTGGCGCAGGATGTTGGAATGCCGCAATTGATTCGGATCGCTTGCTATGCCGACTGTGTCAGCATGCGGCAAAACTTACGTTGCGCAATGCATCAGAAGCCACAAAGGCAACAATCGTGGTGCCAAATGGAATACGTGCAAGCGGGGCTTGTCGCCGAAGCAACAGCACGAGATAGCACGAGATGTTTTGCCGCTTCAAGCCTGTTGTGACGAAGTATCTGACAGCGGCGGAGGATTCGAAGTATCTCTTGGAGTTGCCTGTGGCATGGGAAGAGTTGGATCAGGACATTGTGAGACGCGTCTTTCCTACGGAAAAACCGACGCAGATGACTGATCTTGCAGAAGAGAGTTGCAACTAAAATATGCCGCTGCGCAAGGATAACCGTTTATTGCAATCAAGCTCGAGTGGCCAAGTGCCAGCAAGATTTTTGGCTGATCATGTTCTCTTTGCAAAAGGCATTCAGATCTATTGCGTGGAGTACTCACGCGGTACCTTTGTGCAGATGTCTGCTACGTGCAGCATCGAAATTATCCATGGCCTTTCACAAGGAGATTCTCTTTCTGTAATGGTGCACACATTGCACGCCATGCCCAAGGCATCCATTGTCAAATGGAAGCGCCTCAGCAGACAAAAGAAACTTGATGTAAACACAAATACTGATGAAATATTTCAAAAATAATTCAAACTCGAAAACCTTTAAACAAACACATATATAAACATATATGAAACATTTTGGCTTCACTTAGAGGTCACTTAGCTCACACTTAGCCTCGCAACCTCAAAACCTAAGTACCAGCTAAGTGCCTGCTAAGTGCCTCCGGCGTTCCCAAAGTACAACATCCCCATAGCAAAGTCGGTATGAGTCAAAACCTTGGACCCTAGTGAACCCCAAATAACTGGTAAATAGATGTTCATCCTCCCAAATATAGCAAGATTGGTTTTGATACATCCCCAAGTCCCTCCGCCGCCTCCGTCATTGCTGCCACCAGTGGCGACGCTGGCTTCGTGGTCGCCGTGGTCGGAGCCTCCGACTCGGTGGGCGCCACCGAGGCGCCCGGCGAGGCCGGCGAGGCCGGCGAGGCCGGCGAGGCGGCACCTTCGGGGTCGGGGGGACGGGATGGGGATGGAAAATCCTGGGATTTTATGGAGATGTTATTGAGATTTGATTGGGATTTGATTAAGATTTATGGGATGGGGGGATGGGGATGGAGAATGATGGAGATGATTTGATGATGAATATCTTGTGAATTCTGACATTTTGGAGCTTGAAGCGGAAGAATGGGGTGACCTGACTGGGATGTGTGAAAATAACCCCAAACCGCAGGGCAAAAGACTTGCAAAGCAACAATTGTAGGCTCACAAGCATGGAACATTTATCCAGGAATGGAGGTCAAAAAATGTTGAAAACGCAACATGTCCCGAGCTGAAGTCTTGGACAAGGTGCCGTCGGCGTCACTTGCGATGCCATCGTTCCCACCGAGACTTCTTTTCGTTCGGCAGGGCGTTGGAATGTCCGGCATGCACGCCATCCCATTGCTTTGCTTGCCTCTGCAGGCAATACCAAAACAAAGCACTTCAACAACAAGAGAACATTGCCAAGAGATACTCCGATGACTTTTTGTGCAGCATGTAGAAGCAACGACCAATCTAATCAAAGGATTTATTCATTCCCAAATCAGACATTGAAGCCACAGAATAATAATGATGGTTATTTTACCCAAACAATGATTAATATGATTAATTTCTGATTAAATATATACATTATATAAAATCAATCTTTTTATTTGTTTGCCCCAATAAGACCCATGGCCCATAACCATAACCATCATCGTTTCGAGGGTATATGCGGTATGATCAGTTCAAGCCCAAACGCGCAAGCGCCACCTTCAGGCGATGCGGCCGCGGCCGTCGGCCAGCGGCCGGGCGAAAATGGGCGAAGGTCCTGCACGGGTATCCCAGGTCAAGAGGATGACTGATGCTGAAATGTTCATGAATTTTCTGGGAGTCAGCAAATAGCCAAAATAGATCAACTCATAGCCAAACAATATCAAAAAATACCAAACCAACTTAGGTTGCTGAAGTAATTGTAAGTAAATATAATCAAACTTATAACTTTGCTGAAGTTGTAGAATGATTAAAGTCTGCCAAACCAAGGGCTTGGAACGGCTGCACATCCCTCCATCCTATGACCAAAAGTTATAGACTATAGAAGTCAAATCTGAATATAGGACCCAAAACCTGCGAAAAAGGCATGGTGCTTGTCAAAGTTGCAGGGTGCTGCCGCTGCCTGGTGCGTTTCTTTATGCCAAACGAGACTTAGGCAAAAGCATTGAATAGCTACTACCCTCGAAACAATTCTACTATGTAGACAAATCCATGAAACAAGCTGGCATCCATAGCAAACAGCTTATAACAACTGAGAAGTGAATAGCAATATCATCCCCAATCATGGGGCGGAATCACTTTCCAAACAGCATATGGCTTTGTCACTAGGGGATACCCACAAATAACAAATTCATTGTTCAATATGATAATATGTTCATAGGGAAAAATGATGTTCTAATCATTTCGAATCGGCATTGGGCGCTTGTCCCCTACATAAAACAAAAAATAGTTTACTTCGTGTGATCCCCACCATATCTTCTGGCATTCTACCTGGCATATGTTCTGGCAAATCTTCTGGCATTCTATCTGGCATATCTTCTGGCATATGTTCTGGCATATCTTCTGGCATTCTATCTGGCATTCTATCTGGCACATCTTCTGGCATATTATCTGGCAAATCTTCTGGGATTCTATCTGGCATATCTTCTGGCATATTATCTGGCAAATCTTCTGGGATTCTATCTGGCATTCTATCTGGCATATCTTCTGGCATATTATCTGGCAAATCTTCTGGGATTCTATCTGGCATATCTTGTGGCATTCTATCTGACATTTTATCTGGCATTCTATCTGGCATACCTTCTGGCATTCTATCTGGCATATCTCATGGCATTTTATCTGGCATATCTTCTGGCATTCTATCTGACATTCCATCTGGCATATCTTCTGGCATTCTATCTGTCCGTTGAGGTCCAGCGGTGCACACTGAGCTGGGCAGCTCGCTCGCAGGTTGACGTCCAGCAGTGCGCACTGAGCTGGGCAGTTGGCGAAGAGCTTGGCGACGAGTTGGCAAGGTTGGCAAGGTGGAAGTGGAGGTGGAGCAAGGCGGAAGTGGAGGTGGAAGAGGCGGAGGCGAGGAGGACAGCGAGGAGGACAGCTAGTCGAGGAGGAGGAGGAGGCGGGCATGCGCTCTGATAAAATCTAACGACCCTCACCTGGCAGGTGGGGAACAACACATACAAAACTCGTATGAACCAATCGCAGACTCCGGCATCCTGCACTTGCTGTAGCCAGCTGGGAGTTTCAAAGTTCAACATGCGCGCCACTGGAGGGCTACAAGGTATAGCCGATGGAGCCGGGGAAGCCTGCATGGTGACATGGGGGATCCAGGTGATCCAAGGACTCCTGTCATTGAACGAAACACCACCTGATTCCATTGAAAGTTGGATTCCGATGGAAATGAAGTTGGATTGGGAATGGCAAAATAGTACATGGATATATATATATATTATATCATTGGGACCTTTTAACTCAAAAACCTGTTGTTGGCAATCGGGTGCTGGCACACTGGGATTCGCACAGGTGCCCAAAACGGGGTGAATGTGTCATCAAAGACCTGTTGGGACATGCCCGTTGACTGTCCATGATTTGGATTGATTGGATCATCAAACACCATTCCATATGATGTTTCAATTGTTGAACATGTCAAAAAATGGCAGGTTTGCTGGCCCGAAGAGTGGATGTTGGGAGCTGCAAGTCTAATAGCTGGTTGATGGTTTCAATGCACCTCACAAACAAACTTGTTTCTACTTGTTTTTGCCAGTCAGTGAGAAGCATGGAAAACCAATTGGAGAAACCAACAAGAAGACATCAAAAGGGAATACATACCATACCGCTTTCCTATTTTGTGTTATTTGCGACCATTATCCCTGTCCAAGTAGTTGCCTGCAAACAATTACCAATCAAAACTGGTCAATTTCATAAACGATCCAACCTTGGTGTATATCTGGCTTCTGTAAAAGCCAGAAATTCCAACCCACCACCAAGAAAACGTTCCTCAACTCCTTCCCCTATGCCTCCCTGTAGGCGCTTCGAATCTCCGACTTCCCCTGCCACGGTGTCACAGGCGACCGGGACCGCCGCAGCGACGACCGCCGTCGCGCACTCAGCGCACTGCGGGACCAGCGACGGATGGACTGACGACGCCGGGACCAGAGTTCCTCCTTCATGCGCTGCCCTGGTGAGTCCTCCAAATATGACCTGTCAGCACTTCATGTGCCACCGGTGAGCACCCCAAAAAAGAAGAAACAGTTGTGTGCGACATTTACATGGCTTAGCATAGAACATTTGGAGCAAATTTAAGGGAAACACAATTACAAATTGTTGATAGTTGTGAGCACCAACCCTGGTTGGCTTTTTAAATTTCAACCCCATCCAATGTACGCAGCTTGTGGTTTCAAACAAGAGATGTCTTTTCTGTCTGTGTGTGATTTTTGGGACACTAAGCAAAAAGACATGGTTGGTGGTTTCAACCCATCCCAAGACTATTTGTATCTATTTGTATCTATTTGTATCTATTTGTCATAATTACCCGTCCCCAAAGTCAAAACATAGACCCTGAAAATAGGACGTTTTTAGTGGAAAGCATTGCCAATCTTATATACCCTGCAAAAAATGACAAATTCTTTGCTGGTTAGTAGATATTCCCATTAATACCAAAAGACTAAAGGATTAAAGTACCCATGTAAGATTGACCTAGAAAGTAGTCCTCCAAACCCCGGCTCATGGCAGGGTCTATCTGAAAAATTGGGGCCGATGGTAAGATCATCTTTCCATGCAAAGATATGGCCTCTTCTAATCAGCTCCATGGCTGGAAAATCCCCACTTTAGTTCATTGTTTTGCCTATAAACAAATCCATTGATAGGGGATGTTCAAGTGCTATGTTTGATTACGCCAAGCGGCTTCTTGAAGGGCGACACATGGGCCACACCGCTCTTGAGCAGCCTTGGTGATGTGAGATCTGGTTGCTGGAAAATATAAATAGTAAATCTACAATAATTTAATATGATAGACCAATACATATATTATCGAAGGAAGTTTAGAAGTCAAACTTCCGACAATATGGACAGATGAAAATCAGAGCAGGGCAGAGGCAGAGAGAAGAGAAAGATTAGAAGAGAGAAGATCAGAAGAGAAAGAGTCAGAAGAAAGAAGATGCAGATGCGCGAAAAGGTAGGAAAGTCGCGAAACACTGTGTTTTTTTCCAATGATTTGTGGGTCCGGAGGGTCGAAAAGTAGGCTCGCTAAAGCGGCGGGTGCGGAGCCAGCTGGCCAGATGAGAGATGAAAATTTGCACGCCGTTGTGGCGCGAAGCACATTTTGAAGTCAAAATGTACAAAACACACCATGCGCGGACCACTTTTGGAAGTTGAGATGTCGAAAAAGTGCACGCCGTTGTGGCGCGAAGCACATTTTGAAGTCAAAATGTACAAAGCACACCATTCTCGGACCACTCTTGGAAGTTGAGATATTGAAAAAGTGCACGCCATTGTGGCGCGAAGCACATTTTGAAGTCAAAATGTACAAAACACACCATGCTCGGACTACTTTTGGAAGTTGAGATGTCGAAAAAGTGGACACACCTGTGGCGCGAAGGACATTTCGAAGTAAAAATGTTCAAAACGCTGGGGGTTCGGACCACTTTTGGAGGTTCAGATGTCGCTTCGCCGCTTCGCTTCACTACACCACACTACGTTACATTACACCACACTCCACTATACTACACTACATTACATTACACTACACTCCACAACACTACAACTACAACTACACAACTAGACTACACTCCACTACACTCCACTACATTAAATTTCACTACACTACATTACACTACACTACGCTCCACTACACTACACTACATTAAATTACACTACACTCCACTACACTAAATTACACTACGCTACACTACATTACCCTACACTACACTCCACTACACTACACTCCACTACACTACATTACAGTACACGACCTTCCACTACACTTCACTACATTACACTACACTACACTCCACTACACTACAACTACAACTGCACAACTATACTCCACTACACGAAATTACACTACACTACACTACATTACACTACACTACACTACATTCCACTACACTCCACTACACTGCACTACATTACACTACACTACAATACACTGAATGACACTGCACCACAGATAGACAGGTAGACAGGTAGACAGATAGACAGATAGACAGATAGACAGATAGATAGATAGAGATAGATAGACAGGTAGACAGGTAGACAGATAGACAGATAGACAGATAGACAGATAGACAGATAGACAGATAGATAGATAGAGATAGATAGACAGACAGACAGATAGATAGATAGATAGGTAGACAGCTAGACAGGTAGACAGATAGACAGATGAAAGAGAGATAGATAGATAGATAGATAGATAGATAGATTGGGTAATTAGATGAAAGAGAGAGAGAGAGATATAGATAGATAGATAGATCGATCGATAGATAGATAGATAGATACATAGAAAATAGATAGGTAGGTAGGTAGATAGTCAGAGAAAGAGATAGAAAGAGTGAGAGAGATCAAGCACCTTTCAGTCCATCAGTGGCTTCGCTCTGCCATCCCTGATTCACAACAACCAACCTCTCCTATAGGTTTCCTATTTTTGAAACTTCCGCCACCGCCTTGTGCGGTACTACTGGTATATAAATATAATTTAATATGTTATATAATCATATTATACATATCCATATCAAGAGATATGCATTGACATATACTAAATCCAAATCATAGAAATGACGATATCAATAGTCATGGTTTATGCTCCACAATATATGGACACTACACATGAAGCACAGATGTCAAGGAGCGGCTCGTCACTCTCTTCCTCTCGCGCTGCCAAGAGGTCCCGCAGCGATGGAAATCGCTTGGCTCGACCAGGGGTTCGACCGCCCCAGAGGGCTTCACTCGCTGCCTCATAGCCTTGCAGCAACCGAAGGTGACCAGGAGATATGTAATATATCATATTTGATAACCAATATGTTGACTATTTGAATCTCAATCTGTGTCATATCAATTGACTATATGTAGTATCATGTATAATCTCTACGTGGGATGATGTTAACAAAGCTTAGCTTGCAAATTTGCAAATGAATGAATGTTGGAAACAAACATGCATGCATGTACAGTATGCTGTCCATGTTGTGACACGACAGGGGGCGTTATTGATCATTATTGGGATAAGCAAACACTTTCTGTTAGCCAAGTCCTGCCCTGAACAGTTTACCAATTTCCAGCCATCCACACGTTCCGCTGGGTTCCTCCTAAAAATTGGATAATCCCCAAAAAATGCTGGTGTTTATCAATTGTTATAATTGTTTTATCATGTTATCACATTTTATCATCATGTTTCATCATCTTTCCATATGTTTCCCCTTGAAGTTGCCACGAATTCAGGTCTCACATCGGTGTCCAAGCAACTTCCCGGTGTCTCCACTCGTCGCCGTGCCCGCTTTGGAAGCAACAAACTCAAGCGTGGCGACTGCACACGTGGCGCCTGAAATGGCGCGACATACAAATCCATCGTAGATCTAAACCAGGAAACTACCCTCCAGTGTCATCAAATGCTGGGAAATCACCTGTTAGGAAGTAGATGGAAATCATCTACTTGGGAGATTGTCCGTTGCCATCTTTGATGAACCCGGTGGTACAACCGGTCTTGAAGATGATATATGATCTCGGAGTCCTTTTTGGGGGCTCAACGTATTTGATCTTTCCAGAGGCATTGTGCTCAAGACGAGCTGAAAAACTGAAGGTCTGCAGACGCTTCCAACCTGTCTCCTAGACATGTTTGGCAATGGGGATCGTATGTCTTTGGGATGGAAACACATGCAAACTATTTGAAAGCACCAACTGAATAAGTTTAAGAAACAACTGCATTATCAGTCAAGCTGCTGTACAGAAAGATCAGTAATTTGAACGCCTGGGCTGTTTAATTCGGGGGTACGATTTTGACAGCAACATATCACAACAATTGGGGTTGACCGTTGACTCTGTTGACCCTTCATCATCCTTCATCTTTGAAACATTCTTGAATTTCTTGAATCAATGACCAACCAGAACTGGTTGGTGGTTGACCTACCCCTCTGAAAAATACTAGTCAATTGGGATGATTATTCCCAATATATGGAAAGTCATAAAATTCATGTTCCAGACCACCAACCAGTATATACATATTATACATTATATAACCATATATATAACCAAACCACCAACCAGAGAATTACTTGAAACCACCGAGTTTTCAACCCAGTGACCATTGCTTCGTCCCTCGCTTGGGATGCACAGATTACATCTGCCGGCTGGGGGCTTCCTGTGGCTGGAGCTGCCTAGGCAGCCAGGAAAGCGATCAGTGCGATCAGTGGTGTCCAGGCAAGCGATTGGTGGCTTCAAATCATGAGTCAATGGGGTCCTCCCATTTTTCGGGGGGTTGAACATGGTTGAAAAGAAAACATCTTCGAAAGCACTAACCAAATAAAGACTGCGGGTGGACTAGACAATGACAAATCATGACAAATCATGACACATCATGATCAATCCATCTCCCAAATAGCACCAGTGTAACATTGATCTTGAAACACATGGATCACAATTCCAAAGTTGGGCATGGTTTCAGTTTTCTGCGTCTTGGATGCTGTTGGATCCTACAACCAGTCATCTCTTGAAGATGGTGAGGTGCCATAAAATCACCATCAGCTGAGGCATACACCCAGTAGTACAATACATCCTAAATATACCCCTTCTGACACTAGTTCTACATGAACAATCCTTTGCTAAAACAATATCCAATAGTACATTTGTTTCTTTTTTGATCCCTGACTCAAGTTGCAGGGACGACTTCTGCTACCAAACGTGGTGATTGATCACATTGTATACACATGGCACTGGGCATCACAGCAGAAAATCAGCACAGAAACCAGCAACCAAAGATCTGGTCAGTTGGCTCGCTGTTGAATCACCGCCAAACCTACTTTTTGTCATAATGAGGGGCCCACCACCAAACAGTGATTTCATGTATTTTCATCTGCAGTGACAACGGTATCCCTCAAATTGAGCATGGGATATCAGGGGGCAGTAAATTCTATCAACCCAGGGTTGACGGATATGTAGGTGTGCCTGAAAATTGAGTATATATAGGCATAATTCAGGAAGTTTCACAGGGGAAATATCATGATGAAGTTGATGAAGCAGCTAATTTGCAGTTGCCCCGTTCTCCAACAAACTCATATGTGTAACTATAGACAATAACATATTATATATATATTGGGGGGGTTCTTAGAATGGTGGATCCCGAAGTCACCATGTGTCGCAATACTGAGTCAGGGTCATCACTTGGATGATGGTACCGGGTACCCCATTTTCCGGAAAGCTCCACATGATCATATGGGGGGTTCCCGAACTACGGATATCCCCAGATCATCCAAATTTTCATGGTATGTTCCAAAAAAAAACATCCAGCGTTCTGGGGGTACCCTCATGACTATAGAAACCTCCATATATAATCATAAGTGTGGTATCATAACCATATCCATAACATAACCATAACCATATCCATAACCTCCATACATAACCATATCCATAACCCTGGTTGGCAAGTCCTTAAGTGTGGTATCCAATTTTGTAGCTGGGGAAGCCTCCCATCATCTCCCATCTCCCGCCTCGGAGGTGCATTCAGGAAAGGGCGCAAATCTCGCAGCCTGGGCAGAGGTCTACCTGTGACTTTGCCACCCAAACATGGGAGAGAATGTGTACATACTACCCTCTGGTAAACTAACATACCTATGGAAAATCACCATTTTCAATGGGTAAATCCACTATAAATTGCCATGTTCAATAGCTATGTTAAATAACCAGGGGGTATATCTATAATGCGTATATATATATATATAGTATACATGAGTACATGTAACACATTCATTTCTTGTAATCTCATATACAGTAATTACTATAGATTACTATAGCATATATACGCTTTTAATATTGGGACATTGGCCATCCAAAAAGTCAATGGCCATGTCAGGAACCGATAAAAATTGGAGCTACCTACCATTAATATAAGGCCTAGATTCAAGGAATATCCCCATAAAATATGGTCTTATATGGTACTAACGTACCTCCATTTTAGGATCCTGAAATTCCACTTGAAAAAGTTGGAACAAAAAACAATTGCAGTAGGTATCGTCAACCCAAATATCGGGTAGTTAGAAAAGAGAAACCAACATGGAAATATGCACATTTCAATACAAACATTGGGGATACTGACATTAAACAACAAACATCAAAGTCTTGACCATTCCAAGAGAAGTGGAATTGATTAACGATAATGACGTGTAGATCGTGTAGATTTCGGGATTGCCTTTTTTTGGCACATTTGGCTGGCCATTTCTTTTGATTTTTATGCCCTCCATTTTGCGGGACTCATCTTCAGCCCTACCCCTTTCCGAAGCCCCCCCATATCCATTACTTTTGGCGCTAAATTTGGCATAGACCCTGGGGTGGTGTTAGCATAGTCAAATAGTACTTTTTGTTTCTTTGAAGTTGTGATCTTGAACCCAAAAAAATCGGCCATAATCACATGATTTATAGAGATTATCCATATAATCCATTATCAATGTAATCCCAAAACCTAAAAGCCTATGACCCATGGCAATTTTTCAATTCGTGGGATATTACTTTTTACTATAATAATCTAATAATGGATCCTAATGAATGGTATCATATCTTGATAGGATGACAAGTCATTTGACCCAATGTGGGAGGAAACATCAACCGAGTATGATGTTATAAGGAAGACCTGGTCACCCAGCAGCAGGAATTATCAGTCACTGTTGTTACAAGAATCCGTTCCCATTTCTGGTGCCCATCAATCTGAATTGCAACCAGTTTAATTATGAATTGTTCAATCATAATTTGCTGAAACAATGTGTAAATATATGTTAATTCATATTATGTAATTTTGAATGAACAATTCATAATTAGTTCAAATGATTTGGTAAATCAGCTGTTCAATACAAGATGATTTGCTGAACATCATAATGTGACCAATATTTTTTGTAAGGCTGTACTTAAGCAAATCACCTCACAGCATATGGGGGTCCGTAGCCCCCCTCCCGTGTGAGGTCCTGAGCGCTCAGGACCTTGTACCACCTCGAGGTGACTATCTTAACTACAGATGAAAAAAAATCCAACTAGGGGGTTACAAGGTCAAACGGCCTGCCCCAATCTACGCTGGGGTGAGGAGGTACAAGGTCCTGAGCGCTCAGGACCTCACAGGGGATGGGGGTTGGTAGCCCCCCTCCTGTACAAGGTGATTTGCTTAAGTACAGGTGGAAAATTAAAAATATTCAGGATGGGAATTCACTGCGAATTCATTCGGTTTCCTTTTCAGTAGTAGGCTTGTACCACGTACCCATTTGAAACTTTGGGGTCATCTCCGCACAAACAGAATCAGCAGCCAGCATTCCTTTCCCCAAATCCCAAGTTTCGCTCAGTGGGCAATCACCACTGCTAAGGCTAATCAAATGTAGGTCAAAGCTAATCTCATTGCTGCTCCCCACCCTCTTCCTGGATCTTCTCTTCTGCCAAAACCATTTCCTCTTCAATCTGAATATCCCTCACAAAAAGATCATCGCAATCACAATCGTTTGAGATGCAGTTCAATGCTGATCTGTCTCGCCTCATGTAAAGGCAAGTCATGGCATATACTTAAAATGATTGGTGATTCAACATAATATAACCAGAACTAAATAATGACTAAGCTTATGAAAAACTTGCAGCCACAGACTGGGCCAGGTCAAAATAGATTTTTTTTCATTTTTTTTTATCATTTTGGTTATCATTACATTTTTATCATTTATTTTATCATCTTCATTTTTTATCATTTCAGGTATCATTTTTTATCATTTTTTAATCATATTTTTATCATTTTTTTCATTTTTCATTTTTTTTATCATTTTTTGATCATTTTTTAAATCATGTTTCATCATTTTTGCTTCCAGTGGTGCAAAAATTTTCCAAGAAATGGAAAATTACAATTTTCCTCGTGTTTTTTTATTTGTTTATCATTTTTTTCATTTTTTCATTTTTTTTATCATTTTTCATCATTTTTTATCATTTTGCATCAATTCCACCACTGGAAGCAAACATGATAAAACACAATGATAAAACACAATGATAAAAACATGATAAAAAAATGAAAAAAATGAAAAAAGTGAAAAAAACGAGGAAAATTGCAATTTTTCATTTTTTTGAAAATTGCAATTTTCCTCGAGTTTTTTTTCTCATTTTGTTATCATTTTGTTATCATTTTTTCTCATGTTTTTATCATTTTTGTTTAACATTTCTCATCATTTTTTATCATTTTTCATCAATTCCACCACTGGAAGCAAAAATGATAAATACATGATAAAAAATGAAAAAAATGATAAAAAAAAGAAAAGCACGAGGAAAATTGTAATTTTCCATTTTTTGGAAAATTTTTGCACCACTGGAAAAAATGATGAAAAATGATAAAAAAATGAAAAAATGAAAAAAATATGATTAAAAAAATGATACCTGAAATGATAAAAAATGAAGATGATAAAATATATGGTAAAAAAATGATGGATGTAATGATAACCAAAATGATAAAAACATGAAAAAAACTATTTTGACCTGGCCCAATTTGTAGCTGGCTCGGTTCTTCATAAGACTAAGCCAATTCAAAGTTACCGATTCAGAAACTTCTTCCAGTAGCACAGGTAATGGAACCGAACTTCCTCGCTGTTGATGCTAGCATGGAAGGCTCAAAAATTGCAAAATACTATTTGACTATCTTAACTGCAGGCCAGGACCCGTGCCACATGTAACGAAACAATCTGCCCTATCTATATTATGGCAAAGTGAAACGTTTTCAGGAATATCAATGCCATCCAATACCCAAAACGTACATTGGTTTCCCAAATTTATCTTGGTATGTTGAAAAACAGGCAGATTTGTAGAGTGGAAACCATGAATCACATGAATCACATGACATATCTTGCTATCCCCAACAAATTCACAAAAAAAATAGGACCACTCAACATCAATCATCACAACCCCAACCCTTGGAACAACCCCCACCTGGTAGCGCAGAGGTTGACCTGGCAATGCCCAGCCACGAATGGCGCTTAGATTCTCATTTTCCATGTTCCACTGCTTAAACGATTTTAAACGTATACCACACCTTTGGGGGACAACCAAATGGTTGGAAGACGCAAACTTACTGTCAAGAGTTAACATTTAAATCATTCAATGATCATTCAATGATATGAAATGAGATGGATTTGGATGGACAAAATCTGAAACAATTAGACGGAAAATAATTAATGTCAACCCAAGATCAATAAATTCTGGTTGAATAACATTTCGGGTCATGCCCCCAAAAAGAAAATTATTACATAATAATATAATATATATATATTATATATATATATATAATAAAAACATAAAATAATATAAAATACAGGAATATATGATATGATATGATATAATATAACATGATAATTATGATATAATAAAACACAATATGATATAAATTGATATAATATAATCACACAATATAAAGAATTTGAATGAAAACAAAAAAAACATGCATATATAGCACCCACACAGCTATGTCAGCTACGAGTATTGAAAGGGGATAATTATATATGGATAAAGATAAGTCAGTGGATTGAATGGGCTCCCCGTTTTCAAACAAGTCCAAATGGGCTCGAGTTATGTTTGGAATCCCATCCACTAGTCCGATACATGATACATCCACCAATCCCAGATAGTTTTTTTAACCAACTTAGCTATCATCCCTATCATCAAAAAATATGACTCCCCATTTTTTATCATGTGTGTGGTTTATATAAATCCCATGGTCAATACTCACTATATGGTTGATGGTCATCCCATCCATGATAAGGATCCTTATAGTTATTATAAATCCCTATGAACCATTGGATGACTAGCCCCGTTTTTAATGGTTATTAACCATGAGTATTGACCATAGCTCATATAAATCCCATTGGCTGGTTGGTTGGTGTTGGTTGAATCGCTGTTTTCCAAGGCGAATCCCACCTCGCCGCAGGTCGATGACATGGACCATGCTGACAGCCAGGTCAGCCACGTCTGGAAGAGGTTCTTCGATGTAGGCGAAGTCTCCTGCGAAACGTTTCTTTCTCGAACGCTGTAGGGTTCAATTTTTATGGGGAATTTACGGGACTTTATCCGTACCTAAATAACCATGGATTTTTGGGGATATTCATGATTTAAATCTATTTAAATCATTGGTTTTGGAGAGATTTCCTACAATTCGGATGAACCCGACTCCTAGCCAGGGAACCAACAGCTCAGCTGACATTGATTTAGGGTTTAATGTTGTTTTTAAGGGGGAGTACCTTAACATCTTAGTGGCTAGTCTCTCTACAACTTGTGTAGAACTGGATCAATCCATAGTTGACTGGATTCGGGCTGCATTGGAAACTACTTCCTGATGTTCAGCCCTTTTTTTTGCCTATCAAAATATCCCCGGGAGAAAGTTCCAAAATGGCAAACAAAAATATGAACATGTGTCAAAGCACAAACCAGTCTCCATCTGCAAACGGCTCACCTGACTCAGTTGACTGGCCGGAGAACATATCGAGAACCACCCGAGGCAATTCTACATCCTGACTCTCTGCAACGCATTCAGCCGATGGGTCACCGCACTGAAATCTACCTGAGGACTCTGGCACTGCTGAACCCAGATCTTCCTGTTGCGATTCCTCCTCTGCATCCTTCTCATCAGGAAACTCGTTGTAGACTTGGGTCTTCTGAACATCATCGGAAGTATCATGCTCATCACCAGCTGGTCTACTCTGCTCAACAGACTCAAAGTCACTCATGCGCTCAGGTTCGTCCAACTCAACCTGAGTATCTTGACTTGCGTCATCTGGAGCAGACCCGTCTAAGAAAGATTCTTCGGGGATGTTCATTCCATTGTTCTGGCCAAGAGCAATCTGAGCATCATGAGGCCTCATTGCCTCAGAACTACCATCTGCATGTGCAGCAGCAACGCATTCAGTCGATGGTTGACCGCACTGAAATCCACTTGAGGACTCTGGCACTGCTGTACACAGATCTTCTTGTTGCGAACCCTCCCCTGCATCCTTCTCACCAGGAAACTCGTTGTAGACTTGGGTCTTCTGAACATCATCGGAAGTATCATGCTCATCACCAGCTGGTCTACTCTGCTCAACAGACTCAAAGTCACTCATGCGCTCAGGTTCGTCCAACTCAACCTGAGTATCTTGACTTGCGGCATCTGGAGCAGACCCGTCTAAGAAAGATTCTTCGGGGATGTTCATTCCATTGTTCTGGCCAAGAGCAATCTGAGCATCATGAGGCCTCATTGCCTCAGAACTACCATCTGCATGTGCAGCAGCAACGCATTCAGTCGATGGTTGACCGCACTGAAATCCACTTGAGGACTCTGGCACTGCTGTACCCAGATCTTCTTGTTGCGAACCCTCCCCTGCATCCTTCTCACCAGGAAACTCGTTGTAGACTTGGGTCTTCTGAACATCATCGGAAGTATCATGCTCATCACCAGCTGGTCTACTCTGCTCAACAGACTCAAAGTCACTCATGCGCTCAGGTTCGTCCAACTCAACCTGAGTATCTTGACTTGCGTCATCTGGAGCAGACCCGTCTAAGAAAGATTCTTCGGGGATGTTCATTCCATTGTTCTGGCCAAGAGCAATCTGAGCATCATGAGGCCTCATTGCCTCAGAACTACCATCTGCATGTGCAGCAGCAACGCATTCAGTCGATGGTTGACCGCACTGAAATCCACTTGAGGACTCTGGTACTGCTGTACCCAGATCTTCTTGTTGCGATTCCTCCTCTGCATCCTTCTCATCTGGAAACTCACGGTAGACTTGCGTTGCTTCACAATCATCATCCAGCAATGCGTCCAGTACATTGCCCACCCTTTGCTGACACAGCGGTTCACCATTCATGGGCTCATCGCAATAAGCCTGGGTGTCTTCACCTATTTCTGCAATTTTCGGTGCTCCACTCAAAGGGATCAGAATCTCAGTTTGACTTGCAGCGCTACCTTGATTTTGCTCAAACGAACTCCCAAAAAATCTTACTCTTAGTAGCTTTCCCCAAAAAGGGGATTAACCGAATACACCAACCAAATGGATATTGTTGGTTATATCCGGTTATATTATATCTCCATGAAAATACCATCTTCTCTATGAACTCCCCCATCTCTTGATATGGCGGTCAAACCTGGGTACCCCAATACTTAGATTGTTGATACCGTCGATACTAAAATTACTTTACTTCGAGTTATCCCCACCATGACATTTGTACATTTTGTTACTGGCAAACCTTCTGGCATTCTATCTGACATACCTTCTGGCATATCTTCTGGCATTCTATCTGGCATATCTTCTGGCATTCTAGCTGGCATATCTTCTGCAATCTGTTCTGGCATATCTTCTGGCACTCTATCTGGCATATCTTCTGGCATATCTTCTGACATTCTATCTGGCATTCTATCTGGCAAATCTTCTGGCATTCTATCTGGCAAACATTCTGGCACTTTATCTGGCATACCTACTGGCATTCTATCTGACATTCTATGTGGCATACCTTCTGGCATTCTATCTGGCTTATCTTCTGGCATATCTTCTGGCATTTTATCTGGCATATCTTCTGACATTCTATCTGACATATCTACTGACATTCTTTCTGGCATATCTTCTGACATTCTGTCTGGCATATCTTCTGACATTCTTTCTGACATTCTTTCTGGCATTCTATCTGGCATATCTTCTGACATTCTATCTGACATCTTTTCTGACATTCTTCCCGTTGAGGTCCGGCAGTGCCCACTGCGATCTGGAAGTCGCGGTTGAGGTCCGGCAGTGCCCACTGCGATCTGGAAGTCGCGGTTGAGGTCCGGCAGTGCCCACTGCGATCTGGAAGTCGCGGTTGAGGTCCGGCAGTGCCCACTGCGACCTGGAAGTCGCGGTTGAGGTCCGGCAGTGCCCACTGCGATCTGCAACTCGCGGTTGAGGTCCGGCAGTGCCCACTGGGATCTGGAGCTCGCGGTGGAGGTCCGGCTGTGCCCACTGGGATCTGGACTGCGAGGAGGAGGCGGCGGGTGAGGAGGCGGAGGAGGAGGAGAAGAGCTCTGTTAAAATCTAGCAACCCTCACCTGGCAGGTGGGAAAATATACGAAAATCTGTGGTCCCCATGTCTTAAATTGTGACCCATTCCCACATAGGGGTTTCGATAAATGCGGGTACCCCAATAGCTGGATGGTTTATTTCAAAATTCATCTATAAATGTTTTTTTCCAACTAGGGGTACCCCTATTTCAGGAAGCCTCCATATAGAATAAAAGCACAAACGATGGGAACGGCACATCCAGGCGGCTGAAGGATCCTTTCCAGCCACGAATCGGAGCAGCGGTGCCGGCGCTGGGATGATGTTCAGGCATCTCCTGAGCCCCAACAAAAGCCATGGCGATTTCAATGAGTTTTAATCGGGATACCAATATAACTAATAACACCACTGATTGGTGGTTTCGAAACCCCTTTGAAAAATGATGGACTTCGTCAATTGGGGTGATTATTCCCAATACCCTCTGGTAAACTAACATAGCTATTGAAAATGGTCATTTATAATGGATTGTCCCATCAAAAATGGTGATTTTCCATAGTTTTTTGTATGTTTACCAGGCCGGGTATATGGAAAGTCATAAAACATGTTCCAGTCACCACCAACATTATCCCGTCAAAAAGGGGGATTGAACCAACCTAGATAATCAAATAGCTTAGGATAGTAACTTGGTTGACTGATGTTGACTGGGATTTATGGGGAAAAACAACTGCACTTCATGGGGTTTATACATCAATTTGAACAATTTGACGAGGAAACAGGAAGTGAATGGATCGATTAAGTTCAAAACAAGTTTGAACAGGTTTAGCAACACTTGATGGTATATGTCTAGAAACAGTTTGATGATGAAGTCAATGAAAATCAGACCTAAAACACACTCTCTCAGTCTATAACTTCAATCTGGTTATGTAAATCCTTTAGCATCCTGATCCACAGTCCCAGAAAGCTGTTTCATTTTTTTACACACACAATTGCCAGAGCATGACAAACATGTCCGACATTTTCAAAAATCGTGTATATATAGCTTTTGTTGTTTCCGCACAACTATGCATTGAAAAAAAGAAAACTTGCATATGACAAAACCATACAAAACCCAGCATCGGTCGCATCAGTCATCCCAATCTCTTGACTCATCTGGCTCTCACAGACGATGACAGGCTCAGCATCAGGGTACAGCTGAGTTGCGTCGATTTCCATGACCCAGTGACCCAGTCACAGCGTAAGAAAGTTCAAATCTCAGGTGGTCTGCTTGGATTTCAGATGTCTGGATCTCTGGATGCTGTTACATATACCGTCTGGTTATTTAACGTAGCTATTGAACATGGCCATTTATAGCTGATTTACCCAATAATAATAATGGTGATTTAATATACCGTCTGGTTATGACTAACATAGCTATGGAAAGATCCACCATTTTTAAGTTCGGTAAACCATCCGTAAATGGGCCATCTATACCATGGCTATGTTAAATAAGCAGAGGGTAATTACTATAGATGAATCTTTGCTGGAAGTCGCTCGTGAGATTTTTGATGCTTTCCAGATGTTTCTGGAGCCTGTGGAAAGGGTTGTCCACCTGATATCCACTCAAGTTCTTGGGGAGAAGTCTTCTGAACCGTCCACCAATTTTCCCCATCCAAATAACAGTGTGGCAAAAACATGCTGCAAACAATCCGATTGTAATCCTGTCACATAATTTCAGAACGGTACTTTTACTATGCAGATCCCGCCTTCTTTCTCTTGCCCCCAAACAGAACACTTTTCTGATGCTACGCTTTTGCGCCAGTTTCATGTCCTCCGTTCTGCATTGCCATGGGTTGCTTCCTTGGGCCTAAAGGCTATTCCCAAGGTCAAGTTGTTTGGTCAGTCAGAGTTCAACACATGTGCTCCGCCTCAGCTTGTCTGCCAGTTTCTCCGATTCCTCGCTTCAAAACCAGCCACTGGATGATGACGTTGGCAAGACTCAGATATGTCTACAATCTTCTACAACACGTGCTCTTTAATCTGGATATCATACAATATTCAAATGTATATATATATATTATACACATAGGATTTTATAGGATAGTTATCATCCATTTCCATCCCATATGTCTAAAGATGAAACCATTCACCAACACCAAGGCACCTGGGTCACGCCACCTGTTCCAGCGCTTTTCCCCAAACGAGCCTCTCACCCAGCAGTGAATTAATTTTATGGCCAGCAGATGCGGCCGTCAATTTTTCATCATTTGTACAGAGCGTCCCACGAAGGGGCGCCCCTTCGGAGCGCCGCGAGCCGCGCATCGCCAGCACCCAGTCACCATAACTTGAACCAGATCAACGACGTGAATTCTTCAGCTGCTCTTCGCTCAAATTAAACAGCGAAAAAAAGCCGCAGAAGCTCACTCACTTGACAATGGAAGGTCCCAAGTGTGTGAAATTGATTGAAAATTGAAATTGTATATCACCATCAATCTACTCTCTGGTTATTTAACATAGCCATGGTATAGATGGCCCATAGAAATAGATGGTTTACCCAGCTATTAGCTATGGTGGATCTTTCCATGGCAAACTGTTAGTCATAATCAGATGGTAGGAGAAGCTAAATCCCATCTGGTTATTTAACATGGCTATTGAAAATTGCCATTTACAGTTGATTTTCCCATAAAAAATTGTGATTTTCCATAGTTATGTAAACGTTTACCAGAGGGTATCACCATCAATCTAGGAGAAACTCAATCCCATTGATTCAGTTTGGTTTACCATCAGGTTTCCCTAACATAACCATTTATAGATGGTTTACCCAGCTTTTAAAATGGTGAATCTTTCCATGGCGAACTGTTAGTCATAACCAGATGGTAAATCCCATTGATTCATTGAGAAAATGAGGATTGGGATCTCGCACTATCAAGCGCCACGGCCATACCACAGCGGCCTTTGGCTGTGGTCCTCCCATCGTAATCGCTTGGTACTGGACTCCTGGCTAGTCCCATGTGGGGACGGTATAAATATCATTAAATATCTATCCATTTATGGAAGTTGATGGGTAAGATAGGTATGAAAGGGATGGTTTATAAGCCAATATCCATTAAATATCATTTAAATAAGTATGAAACGGATGGTTTATTCATGTTTATTGGCTTTGCCACAGTAATGGGTAAGATTTTTTTCACAAGAAATCACAACATATATGTCCATTGACTTATAATCTAGATAGCTACAAGCCAGAGATGATTCGAGCAAAACTGCCAAAATCGCTGGTTCCTGGGGTCATAGTGTTTTTGCCAAATTGACGGCTGTTTTCCTGTTGAGTTTCACATAATCGGACGACATGCAATGGAAGACTACATTTGACATGCTGAGAAACCACAATACAAGTGCAAAACCTTCAGAGCTATTGCGGCTGCAAGTAGGGCGTCAATACTTTGATAAAACGGCAAACTGCCATGATACAAACACCACTGCAGGGTTCAAAAACATGATGACAACATGATGACAAGCAAGGTGGCAAGGTTCATCTGTTCATCTGTGGATTTTCTGATGGTGAAACTTACCTGCCACTCCAATTGAGATCATCATCCCAGGATGCAACATCCAGTTAGTTTTCCCACTTTCTTCCTGGTATCACTGTGCCATGGTCGGATGGGTATGTGCAGTTCGAAGGTGTTCGAAGCTATCAGTTCCATGTGAATGCTCTGTTCATTTCTAATCTTCGACCGGCTCAAGAGTTAACTTTGGGTACTCTATTCCGGTGTAATGTGGTAAAGTCAATAATTACAAACCTACCATTTGGGATGGTTGATGCATCCCATTTATGATGATTTTTGGGATACATAACTTATTGGGTTTGCCACATAATATGGACATGAGAAGTGATTAACATGATTAACCTTCCTGGCCAAGGTCTATCCAGTTTGATTTTACGACAACCAATTGTCTTTGGGCCACCGTTCAACATGAAGCTGCTGCACCTCTTCCACCTTACCCGGAAACCTTCGCTTTCGGCCTCAGCAGTCAGGAGCTTCCTCTAAAGCACATCTTGAAAAATTGAAACCATCTTCCACAAATGGTGCTGGACATAAGATACAAAACTAATCAAAACTAGTGTTTTGGACATTTTGGAACCCACCCACTCTTAGAGGTGGATGCAAGGGTTGCAACACACCTACTCACCGTTTTTAAACTTCAGGGACACTTCAACCGAATATTTGGTGCAATGTTCACGAAAATCCGATATTTGATGGAAATAACCATGAGTTTCCTGCAGATCTTCTCTTAAAGTCTTAAACACATTACTTATCTTACTGTAACATACTGTAACGTTAGATACACACACAAAAAAAAAATACGGGTACGATATTATCCCATATAGCATCATATGGTGATTTCCTAAAATAGGGATACCCCCTAGTTATCATCCAAATTAAATCATTTTAATAGGATTTTCCCTTAAAAACCAAACATTTTGGGGTATCCCCATTTTAATGGAAACCACCAGCACCATCGCTGCGTAAGCCATTCACTGTTTGGCTGCGCTTTGCTGAGTACCCAAGCGCCGTTGCAGTGTTGCAAAGCGCAGGAGCTTTGCGCGCTCATAACAGCGCCTGGGGGGCAATACGTAGTATGGTATTTACAAGGGAAATAGTATTATAATAGGGGGGTATTGGTAAAACATGATAAAGCTAGATACTTCATGGGATATATGATAGGATATTCAATCGGATAACACTAGATACTTAATGGGATATATGATATGTGATAAGATAGTCAATGGGATATACGGATATACCGTACTATACCCTCTGGTAATTTGTTGCGCAGCTGCGGAAGCCACAGCCCATTTATAGATCATTATACATGATATCCCTATCAAAATGGATTATTTTCCAAAGCAATGTTAAATTACCGGTGGATAAATTATGTTTGGTTACTCTCGGGTGATGTTTTGGTGGACTTTCATAAACCCTTCCCCTATTCCAAAGTCAACACCCCCTCGGAAACCATGGTGGATGTGGGGGATTTACACATATTTGGGACCATACAATGGGAATGTTTTAATATTAGGGGGATGCAATTATAATATATACATATAATATATTATAATATATATATATAATCCCTGTTGGAATTCGAACCAAACCTGGGGGTTCCATTCTATAGGGACTAAAACGCAAACCCAGGACTAAGGGGGGGTGATTTTTCCCTATAGAATAGAAACCCAAGAAAACCAACAGCCCCCTGCCACTCCTATAAAATGAAAACCCAGCATCATACTGGCCACTGCTTCTAACAGATAATCCACTATAAAATGAAAACCTGAGTCCAAGTGATTAGGAAAAAGACCCCCTATAGAATAGAAAACTGGGTTTGCAATGTCTTAAGTTTGGTTTCACTTTTTGGATCTGGGCTGGCACCATTCCACAAAAGAATCTACTTGGTGACTATTTTATAGACGGGGGGTTGGATTTCCATTTTATAATCACTTGGACTCAGGTTTTCATTCTATAGTGGATTATTTGTTAGAAGCGGTGGGTATGAGGCTGGGTTTTCATTTTATAGGAGTGGAAGGGGAGGTGTCAGTGGGCAATACTATTGTAAATACTGTGTGATACTGTAAAATATTGAAACATACTGCAAACGAATAAGTAATCAACACTGTTAACGAATCAGTTTTCTGCAGGGCTGCTCCTTAAAAATGGAGATCCAACCACTCTTCTAAAAATGGTTCCCAAGGTTTTTTTGCTTGAAAGGTGCCAGCCCAAACGTGAACCACATTTTGGGCCTTGGAAATAGCGGTTTCTATTCTATAGGGGGCACCTAATCACTTAGACTCAGGTTTTCATTCTATAGTGGATTATTTGTTTGAAGCGGTGGGTCTGAGGCTGGGTTTTCATTTTATAGGAGTGGAAGGGGGGGTGTCAGTGGGCAATAATATTGTAAATACTGTGTGATACTGTAAAATATCGAAACTTACTGTAAACGAATAAGTAATCAAAACTGTTAACGAATCAGTTTTCTGCAGGGCTGCTCCTACAAAATGGAAATCCAACACCACTTCCAAAAAATGGTCCCCAAGATTTCTTTTCTTGAAAGGTGTCAGCCCAAACGTGAACCACATTTTGGGCCTTGGAAATAGCGGTTTCTATCCTATAGGGGGCACCTAATCACTTGGACTCAGGTTTTCATTCTATAGTGGATTATTTGTTTGAAGCGGTGGGTATGAGGCTGGGTTTTCATTTTATAGGAGTG